GCAGGCTCTAGGTTCTGAACTGTCAGCACAGAGCCCAACACGGAGCTCAAACTCACGAACCACACGATGATAACCTGAGCCAAAGTCAGACACTACCAACTGAGACACCCAGGCGTCACAACAAACAGAAATTTAACTTAAACCTAACTATATAAATAATCACAATATATAGAGATAGGCTAAACATCCCACTTTAAAGGCACCGATCTTCAGACTGGATTTAAAAGGCTAGAGCCAAATCCATGCTGCCTATAAGAGATGCATGTTAACCCTAATGGCATAAACTAAAAATGGAATGATGGAAAAGGTTTACCATGCTAACACTAGCTGTATTACTGTCACACAAAGTAAGTTTCAGGGCAAAGAATATTACAAGGGATAAAGAAGAACATTTCATAATGATAAAGGGGTCTATTAATCAAGAAGTTGTAATAACCTTAAAGCTTTATGCATCTGATAATAGAGTTTCAAAATAAATGAGACAAACACGGACAAAATTGTAAGAGGAAACAAACAAATTCACAATTGTAGTCAGAGATTACAACACTTCTCTCTTAATAATTGATAGAAAATTAGTAAGTGTTTAGACAATTTCAACAACACTAGCAACCAACTTGATCTAATTGACACTTATAGAAAATAAGCCAACTAGGGAGATAAAATGGAATCCGAGAAGCATTCCATTGGGCCAGTCATGGTAGTCTTGTGTGAGAGTCTGCACCACTCTGAGCGGTGTCTTGGAGACTGACAGGGAGGAGATAGGAGTGTGACAGTTGTAAGGAACAAGAAGTCTAGAGCAACAGCACAGCTAAGAAAATGGAAAAGAAGAGGGGATTTTAAGAAGCATGGCTGAGCTTTATATAAAGTGAATCCCCTTCAAGTTTTGTTAAAGCATAGCAGGAAAATCAGATCTGCCGTGAATTACGCCGGGTTGGTGTACTGCAGTTCACTGAATGAAACCAAAGTGGAATCAGGGGAGCTCTGTACTCCATTCAAGTTTCAGGTCCACCATTTAAGGTTGAACCAGAAGAAATAACATGATTCTAGACATAGCTCCAATGCCTCCTCTCATTTGGGCAAGTCTGTTCAGCACTCCACGTCTGTTTCCCGTGCATACAAAGTGGGAATTCATTCATTCACTTACTCACTTACGCAATCAGATTAATTTATTGGACTTTTACTACATGGCAGGCCCTGTAGTAGCTACTTTGAACAAAGAAGACAAAGGTCCCTGACGACAAGGAACTCACAGTTTAATGGGGGGAGAGAGACAACAAACTAATAAAAAAATATGTGATATGTGAGATGATGATAAGTGCTCTGCCGAAAATAAAGCAGAGTAAGAAGGAGAGAGGACACAAATGGGCCGGGAAAGGCATTCTGACAGGTACAGAGACATGCAGAAATCGGGGCGGGCCATGTGGAAAGTTGGGTGGGAGAGAAGAGGCATCCAAGGGAAAAGTGGGGACCAGGGCCCTGAGGTGGGGGTGCACCTGGAGACTTTGGGGAAGAGTAAGGAGGCTACTGTGGCTGGAAGTGCGATCAAGGTCATTTAGGTAGTGGAGTCTTTATCAGATAGGGCCTCGTAGCCATGGTAACAACACTGGCTTTGACTGTGAGATGGGGAATCATTGGAGGTTTTCCAGCATTTGAGTGGCAGGATCTGACTTGCATGTTAAAAAAATTACTCTGGCTTCGTGTTGAGAGACAGACTACGGGGAAGCAAGGACAGCCGGAGGAGGGCTGCTTAAGCAGTAAAGGCACAAGTGAGGGGGTGAGGGTTCAAGGTTTGCACCCCAATGGTGATACAGTGGTGGTGAGGAGAGGCTGAACTCTAGATTTCTCTCGAAGGTACAGTGAATAGATTTGCTGATGGACAATATGAGGGGGTGAATGTGAAAGGGAAATATCAAAGAGGACTCCAAAGCTCTTGGTCTGAGCAAGTGGATGAATGGAGAGGCCATTTATTGAGATGGGAGCATAATGATACCTAGTCCTTGTGAAGCTGTTTCAGGGAAGAAATGAGAAAATGCATGTGAATGCACCTGATGAACTCGAAAATACCATATGGATGTAAAATATGAAAAATTACTATCTGAGGAGTTGCTTATTGTCAAATCGGCCCCAATACTCACTTCTTAAGGCTCAAAAGCAGGGTTGACTTTCTGACTAACATTTTCCCGTTCAACAAGGGACGTTATTCTGAATGTCCCAGTCTACCCACAAGGACTAATTTACAGTCATTCTGATTTTTCCTTGTATGTTTTAAACACACATTTAAACATTAAAGTAGATAAAATTTATAACCTCAGCCATGCTTCTTGAAGACTCCTTTCTATCGTTCTTTAAGCTGTAACACTATGTTGATATTTCTCTCCTTCTCCACACAATGGGGTTCAAGAAAGCTCTTTTAAGTGTAAGTGAAAAAAACTGTAGTCCATAAGAAACCCTTTTAATTTCCTTGAGTCATCTCTTGTGGAACTAATTTTGTACACCCCTGATTTAGGCCACATTGGGTCTCTGACAGTGTTGTTAAGAAAGCTACCGTCTACTTTTCAGAGCTACTTTAGGCCTTCCTAGTATATTTCCCGGCAGATGGGTAATTTTTACACGGCAGTCTAGAAACACGAAATCGCTGTGGAAACTGTCAGAAGTTGAGTTACATATTTCTTCTGTCATCTGAGGGGTCAAGACAGCCTGAAATGTCTCAATAATTTTACAAATGAATCAACAGAAAAATTACTGAATTCAGATCGGTTAGTTCAGTTCTGAGCAGAGTAAATGCAGAGAATGTGGGAGATGGGAGTGTGTCCCCTGGGGAAATTACTACATATGCAAAGTTTGCTGTGGGAGTTAAATAAGGGAGTACTTGTAAAACTCCATACTAGGTGGGTTGAGCTGCTGATCCTTCAAGGACGTTTTTTAAAAAACTAAACTTTAAAAAACATTCTTAAAAAACTAAACTTTTGAGGACAGATACATTCAAACATATTTTTGTTCTGTTTCTCTCTTCAGTCTGTTCTACCTTCCTCATTTCTCTCTCTCTCTCTCTCGCTTTCTCTCTCTCTCACGTGCACGCACACGCCCTCCAACCTATTCATGCTCCTGTTCTTTAGCAAATAGTTACTGGGTATTTGGGAGCCAGTATTTTGCTGAAGACGCAGAATGTTTTCCTGCGTGCTCTAATGACCTAACCGAATTCTCACTGGAATGGTTACATCGAGAGGGAAGAGGTACATGGGAGAAATTCCACTTAACATTCTTGGAAGAGATACCAGGAGTATGATAAGAAGGAGGAAAAATTTGACTTCACAAACATTTCTTGAGACATCTTCATGAGATGCTAACTCAACTAGGGAGAAGCTAGCTGCCCCTCATCACGATGGTGGAAAAAAGGAGTGTGTAGCATGGGTCTGGCTCCCTCTTGCGCAGCTGTCCTCTGGCCACAGGCAGAAGAGCTGTGGAAGAATCCCATCTCTGGCTCTGGGAACAGGCTGGCCTCAAGATATTGCCATCCAAATTCTCCAAATCCCTGCCAGAGTGCAGGTGCAGTGCAGGGTGTCCAGCTTTTTGGGAGACCTTTTCTTTCTCTGGGATTCCCCATGCCTGACGCACTCTGGTGCCCTGACTAGGAGGTATCTTTCTTTTCTTGAAACCTTGAGCTTTCCATGTTCCCCAGAACATCAAGGCACCAACTCCCCAGAACATCATTCTTTGCTTCCTAAGCACATACTGCTGTGGTCTGTTCTTCTGCTGGGGTGGGTCCTTCCCGTCCTGATTGCTCTCTCCTGGGCCTCTTTAAATGCTTCTGTGTGAATGTGTCTTAATCACTGGCTAGTCCCTGGGTCTGGGTTTTTGCATTCCCCAAGCCTCTAGCACATAATCAATTCTCGGTTTTCATTTCCATTTTATCACTTTATTTTCTTATTTTTTAAAATGTTTATTTATTTAGTTTTGAGACACAGAGAGCACAAGCAGGGGAGGGGCAAAGAGAGAGAGAGAGGGAGACAAAGAATCAGAAGCAGGCTCCTGGTTCTGAGCTGTCAGCACAGAGCCAGATATGGGGCTCGAACTCACGAGCTGTGAGACCACGACCTGAGCCTTAGTCGGATGCTTAACTGACTGAGCCACCCATGCGCGCCCCCCCCATTCATTTTATCACTTTAAACCATCTCATAAATGCGAACACCCCAAAGAGAATTAATGAGACGTTTCTAGAGGAGCTAAGTAGAATGATAGCCAGTGGCAAACGGTACCTGATCCATTCCCTTCTATTGGTTGGATACTCCCCTCTTCAGTGATATGGCCCAACTCCTCTCTAAGTGATCATGCTAACTAAGAGTGGGGTCCAAACAGTTTAGTTGACTAGCCCATGGCATTACCCAGTTGTCAATAAACATTTTCTGTACAAATCACTGGTCTGATCTGTGAAATGAAACTTCTATGTATTCTTTTTATGCTACTTGAGATTACTTAACTGCTCATTCCTCTCAACCTTAAGAAACCGAAGGTGATCATATATTTCCTATGCTTTGGTCATTTTTAAAAAAGACTACACTGAACACGAACACCAATTTAATGTTAATTTTTTGAAAGTCGCCGATAGCACCTGCTCATGTCTCTTGGACGTGGTGGTTAAAGAAGGTGAAAGTGGATGATTCACAGAGTCTGAAAGATCTAGATGCCATTGAAAAGGTACACAAAGCCAGTAAAACCTCCTAAACCAGAATCACTCAGCATGCTTGAATTGTACTGGAAATCCCATTCGAAAAGAACGAAATAATTCTATTTGGGTAGTACAAATGCATATCCAGCCAGTCATTGTAAGAACTGAGGAAGCTTACAGTAAACATAAAAATCAAGTATTTCAAGAATCTCTCATGAATCTTATACAATTCCCTCCATGCAACTCTCTGAAGATCAGCTTTTTTTTTTTTTTAATTTTAAGAAATGGGTTAAAAAATCTCTCCAAAATCTCCACTCGGAGAAGAAACACTTACCCAGAGTGCTTCATGTTTTGAGGCTTATCCATTCGGACAGCAAGTTTGATTTTGAGGTCTTGATCAGGGCAGTTTTTGGAGACTGTCATTTTGTGCCACTCTGACTGTTTGGGGCTGTTTGGGGTGGGATGGAGAATAACCTGCAGGCAAAAAGGACATCCATCTTAGCCAGAAAGTGGAGACACGGCTACAGGCGTGTTGTTTTCTTTTCCTTCTTTCTTTCTTTTTTTTTAAATGCTTTATTTATTTCTAGGAGACAGAGAGAGACAGCGTGAGCAGGGGAGGGTCAGAGAGAGAGGGAGACACAGACTGTGAAACAGGCTCCAGGCTCTGAGCTGGCAGTCAGCACAGAGCCNAAAACCTCATGTTACATTACATTGAAAACCAGAACCAAGGTTGCAGATGGAGTTGAGTTTGCCAATCAGTTAACCTTAAATAGGGATATCCTGGATATAATCCAGTGAGTTTATATAATCACAAAGTTCTTTTTTTTAAATATTTTTATTTATTTCTAGGAGAGAGAGAGAGAGAGACAGCGTGAGCAGGGGAGGGTCAGAGAGAGAGGGAGACACAGACTGTGAAACAGGCTCCAGGCTCTGAGCTGGCAGTCAGCACAGAGCCCGACGCGGGGCTCGAACCCACAAACCGCGAGATCATGACCTAAGCGAAAGTCGGACGCTCAACCGACTAAGCCACCCAGGCGCCCCACAGGTGTGTTGTTTTCAATGAGAAACTTGGCTGCGGAGAAGCTCAGTGTCTGGCCCAGCACTCAGGGAGGCATTTAAATAAAACAGAGCCTTGGCTGTGGGACTGAAGTCCAAGGCTCCTCTACCAACCATGGCTGCCTCGTGCCAAGCAGACCGGCCAGAGGACAGAAATGGTGTTCTGTTGCTCTCCTCCCTCTCTCCCTGGCTAACTCAGTAAAAGTAATGATCATGATTTCTGTCATTCTGCTTCTGCATCTGTCTGAAATGCAGAGGCCCCAAAGCAACCCAGAACAGTCATGCTCACACGTGGTTCTCTCCATAGAAGACGATGGATGTACAAAAGGAAGACATTAGACATTACACATTACACATTAGAGCATCTCTCGTCCATTCGTTTTTCCTCTCCTCAGGATGCCTTCCTCTTTTTTCAGGAGGAGGAATCTCTCAAAGGCCACAGGGGAAAACAAAAGGGACTTTATGGGACGGATGAGAAATGAGAGGCCTAGGGAAGGGAGGGGTCTTGCTGACAGTCACACATTTGCACACGACGTCACCGTCACGGGAGAGTGGCATCTCCTCATATAACAAACACTCAAATCTGTCCGGGTTTGAAAGGAAGCCCACACAGCAGGAAGGAGTGTCTCGCACTGTGTGCTTCAGAGATGGTGCTCCAATGTGAGTCTTCTGCCTTGGTTCTGTCTCAGAGGCTGGATGCGAGGCAAGGAGTGGACGGCTCCGTGCATCCCCTTCTTCGTTTTGTGGCCGGAGTTCTCAGGAGCCACGTGGGATCTGAGGAACACGCACTGGGGCAGGAGTGGAATAGCTGAAAAATGTCCCTGACTGATGGAACGGGGACTAAACACAGGCGCCACAAAAGCTGGGCTTGTTAGGATGTGCTCTGGTGGCGGCAGCGTGCCCTGGTTTGTGGCAATGTTGCTTTGGCTCTGTCTTCAAAGCGTCTCCTTCCTCTTGGTGCAGGGGGAGGCCGCCTCTCTCCTGGGCTTCTTTCACTTCTTCAGGGGGATGGGAGGGGCTCGGAGCCTCAGAGGTGACACTAGACCTTCCAGAGGCTGCCAGCCTCATGCCCTCTGGGCAGAGCGAGACCGTGTGATGGAGCACGATCGACCCACTCTGATAGGCCTCGTTTGTGCTGAATGTTCACCCCTTCTCATTCCAGGCCTGACCCGTCCCCCCATTAGATACCCTCTCTCTGATGAAAGAAAATGTGTTCATTTTTGCTAAACACGTAATTTTGAGTTTTCTCAATGTCTTCTGTACGACATGATTGAAGTACCAGGCCTGATTTGTCAGACCAGAGGCTGCTCAAGTTTTTCTGATCATGCCCTATGCCAGTAAAATATGTGGAGCAAATAGCCCAATATCTGTAAATGTAGGGCTATCAATATAAAAATATATCACCACCAATAAATACATAAAATATCATTATAGATTTATATAAATTATGTAACTATATGTCATATTTATATTTTATATGTTTACATTATATACATTTACTTTGTATTAGTATATTAGCTTATTACCTACATCATAAAATATACACAAAGACAGAAGTCTTAAAATGAGTTGCAGATAAAAACTATACATATATATACATATATATATTTGGGTTTGTTTGTTTGTTTGTTTTTTAAGGTTATTTGAGAAAGAGATAGCATGAGTGGGGGTGGAGCAAAGAGAGAGGGGGAGAGACAGAATCCCAAACAGGCTCTGTGTGGTCAATGCACAGAGCCCAATATGGGTGGGGCTTGAACTCACAAAAACGGTGAGATCATTATCTGAGCTGAAAATAAGATTCCGATACTCCACTGATTGAGAATGAGCCACCCAGGTGCCCCCAAAACTATATTTTCAAATGTCTTGCTAATTGTGGTGACTTTGCACTATTATTAGCTATACTTTAAGGTATCATATATATTTAGGGCAAGGCTCATTGTTAATGATACTAGATGTAAATCTGCAGTCCAAGCAGTCTTTTGTTTTTTAAGTTTATTTATTTATATGGGGCAGGGGGAGAGTGAGAGAGAGAAAGATAGAGAGCGAGCATGAGCAGGGGAGGGGCAGAGAGAGAGGAAGACAGAAAATCCCAAGCAGACTCCATGCTGTCAGCACAGAGCCTGACATGGGGCTTGAACTCACCACTGTGAGATCATGACCTGAGCTGAAACCAAGAGTCGGACGCTTAACCCACTGACTCAGCCAGGAGCCCTCAAGCAGCTCAAGTAGACTTGTAAATAATTTCAGAACATCTTGCCTGACACCTGATCTTACCTGATTACACTGGCAATGACTTTATCTCATGATGTGGATGGCAGAGGTCCTCTTAGTAAGGCAGCCTGAGCTCCACCATTTTTGTGTTGTTTGCCAGGCTTGCAGTGGTAGTGTTATATTAAGATTATACCACTTTGTAGTCATCTTTTTAGACCATTTGTTCATTTTGTGAGGGTTACTTTAGTTAAAATTGTATCATAAAATGTATAAATTCATGTAACTGGTGCCAGCAAAGTATAATATGTTGTAGGCTGCTGAAGGCAGGTTAAGTCAAGCTGCCACTGGCCGGGGGGTGCGGGGGGGTAGGGGGGTGTCACTTGTCCCTCCCCTCAAGAGAACACCTGTCCCTATACGTCACTTCAAATCCTGTTCGGTTTCCTGAGACCCCAGCATTTGGGAGTTGGAGGGAGGTGCCGCTGATCCCTGGGAAGCTGACCTTTGCTCCTGAGCTAGTCGGGCCTGAGAGGTGAAGGGGTAACGCGCTAGGAAGCAAGGAGGGGGAGGGTCTGGTAAGAGAAACTCAGCCAGGGCCAGGACAGCAGCAGGCGGTCCCTGAGCCTCCTTCCGCCCATGCCCGTTTGGCAAAATCAAAGCAGGAGCAGCGCTCTGGGCACCCGGAGCTCGTTAACGGGACTTCCACCATATGGATTCTGGGCGTGTTTCCCACTGGCAATATGGCGTCCATTCGCCGACACAGATGACCACAGCTCATTACTGGCCTCTCCACAAAGACTTCTTCCATGTGGTGGCTCCTCCCCAGGGAGACTTCCTCTCCAGGGTGGATGGAGAGAGGAGGTCGCTGCTGTTCTCCTCCATCTTCATCCCCACCCCGCCATGTGCCTGACGGGTCGACGTCTCCTTTGTATGTGTCAGCCCTGCTGAATTATTCGGGTCCTCCTGGGTGCATGTGAGCCCTGAGCAGTCCAGACACCTCATCTGGACATTCCAGGCTGTGAATCAAGCACTTCGTCATCCCAGCCGAGACCCATGTGTGCTGTGCTGTGATGTGGTGGTGCTGATGTGGGAACACAACCCACTCTCTGCTAAGCTGCAGGCCAGCCAGCACACCACCACCCCCGCAACCCCAGCCAGCTTGTCTTAGTTACCTGGCGTCCAGACAGGGCCTTCTGGGGGGCTGTTTTCCCCTGAGCCTTTACCTGGCTGGTCCTCTCCAGGCTTTAGCCTATACATCCTCCCTACCTCTGCATCTACTTGACCGGACCCCAGGAAGGCATCCCTGACCCTCAGACTGGATTATGTCCCCTTGCTACCCTTGCTATGTGCTTCCCAGGTGTTCTATCCCTAGCAAAGCCCTTACCACATTGCACTATAATTGCTAGTTTTTATATCTATATCCCTTAAGTTTTCTTGAAGTTAAAGATTTTTGCCCGTCATTAGTCCTGTTTGCTCTCTGCATGCCACAAATGATGGGACACCACGGGCTCTCGATCATATCCAATGAACAGAAGTTTGATAATATTACAGTGTTGGCAAGGGTGCAGAGAAACCGTTGCTTTTGCCTTTTGTGGAAGTATCAATTGGTGTGTACTCTTTAAGGGACAATTTGGTAGTATCTGTCAAAATTCAGATTTCATTTGGCAAAATGTTTTTTTTTTAAACTATCCCACACATATACACACATATGTGCAAAGAAATAAATTCAAGATTATTCACGGAAGCATTGCTTATACAGCCAAAGACTGGAAACAATCTAAATATATTATGATACATCTATACTTGGAATATTACACAGCTATGAAACAGGAAACAAGTCAGTATGGGCTGACATGGACTAATCTCTAAATAGGCTGATACTTCAAGCAAAGTACAAAATAGTATGTATATAGTAATTTCCGGCTGTGCTTGCTTGTTCCCCTTCCTTCCTTCCTTCCTTCCTTCCTTTCTTTCCTTTCCTTTCCTTTCCTTTCCTTTCCTTTCCTTTCCTTTCCTTTCCTTTCCTTTCCTTTCTTTCCTTCCTTCCTTCCTTCCTTCCATCCTTCGAAGGATATATATACATATGCTTGTATATGCTATGTTTATACATGCATAGAATATTAGGGGAAGAATACACAATAAATTGAAAACAAGGATTTTCTCTGGAGAAGATACTAGGGCAAGGTGGAAAGAAGCATTCATTTCCCCTATTATCCATTATGTTTTTTTTTTTTAAACAATGCATGAATTATTTTTTTCAATGAAAAAGGTCAATTAAAGTGAAACATAATGTGGAACAAGCTAAATATTGTTGAATGAATGAATGAATGTAGAACTGGGATGTCAAATGTGGCTGTGTCCTGCTAAGCAATTAGAGCAGAGAAACACTCCCTCAGGGGTACAAGGAATTGCTTCACTTAAAAAAAGAAAGCAGTCATCACCAGATGCGGCCTGTGGAGGTGCTACCAGAAGAGGGCGCTCCAGCGGGCACATGGACCAGGCAGGCTAGTTCTGCAACTGGGGGAAAGTGCCTCTGGTAGGAAGAGTAAATTCATATCTAAGGGCACATCTAAGGGGCTGGAAAAGAGATGCGTTCTTAAGAAATGATTAACTATAGGGTTGTGGCAGCTCGTGTCGTTCACCACAGCAGCGGAGCTGAGGGTTTTATGTCTGCATAGGGATAATGTGAAACAGTGGAAATGGTCCTGGAGATGAGTCACCATCGCTCTTGGCAAGTTCCTTACCTCCTCTGGGCCCCAGCACACTCATCCCTACCAGATGAGTAATAACTCATTAGGGTTATTGTAAAGCATCAGTGAGGGGCTGCAGAGTCCTCGGGGCGGTGTCCTGGCCACCCAATGGCAAATGTACAGGGCACGGGCACCAACTAACTGGGTGGCTCTGGGGAAGCTTCTTGCCTTCTGTGGGAATCTGTTTTATCCTCCATAAAATAAAAGGCTTTGACTAGCCCAGTGGGTTTTAACTTTCCTGAGTGGAAACAGCTCAGAGATTGGTGGATGCTTGGGACTAGTGAGTCCAGAAAAATGTACATATGCCCCCTCCCTACCTGAACATTTGTGAACAATTTCAAGAGGTTCCTGGATTCCCATGGAACCTTCTGTGGACTCAAGTTGAGCGTTCCTGGACTCGGCTCTTCTAACACTAATATTCTGGTCTAAATCCTAGTAATATGATTCCAGGTCAGCTGTACAGATGAAAGCCAGATTAAGGAAGTGGGTAAAAAAGGAAGAAAAAAGAAAGCATGGTTAATGCGTTTTTGCTGGCATTGTTAGAAGTGTGCGCCTGTATGCTGGTCTCGAGGTGTTCTCTCATTTTTCCATTGATGACGTATCAAAGGGTTAGGGTTGAGTGTTTTGGCTGAGGTCATACAATTTTCAGAAGGGATTATGTAATCAACCAGTATGACATGAAAAGTATTGGAAGTCTCTGTGCTAGGCTCTGGGTATATAGGGTAGTAAACAAAAATAGTTGAGGCTTCTATGCCCATGGGGTTTTTTCATCATCCAACGGGGGGGATGGAAGCCAACATTTCTGTAAACTCTTCTCTCTTTCTCTCCTTGGCATTCAGTTTAGCGGAGAGGAGGCTGAGGCAGTGAATGAAGGAAGATGGGCGGTCAGGAAAAGGCTCTCCGAGGGAGAGGAGACATTTATGTAAGGAAGGAGGCAGCCTTTTGAAGAGCTGTGGGCGGTGGGAAGAGTGCACCACTCAGGGAGAAAGCCCTCGGATGCAGGAGAGAATGGCTTATGTGGCGGACTGAAATTTGGCAGTGATGCTGGGGCACAGTGGAGAAGGGTAAAGGTACCAACAAATGAGGCCGAGGAGCTGGGCCAGATCACATGCATCTTTGTAGGCTGTGCTACAGAGTTCAGATTTTTATTATAAGCAGTATGGGGTGATGGAAGCATTTTAAGCTAGCAAATCTAACTTATGTCCTGAAAACACTGGCCCTTTGGGACGGAGTCCACAGCTGAGAAGTAAGAAGAAAGGTCTCTATTATCTCAGTGGTACTCAAAGGGATTGGTATCACCCTTTGGGATATTTCAGAAATCTGGGAGACATTTTTGGTTGACAAAATAATGGTGCTGGGCTCTGCTGGTATTGAATGGGTGGGGCCCAGGTATACTACATGCCAGGTAATGAATGAGATACTCCTCCCCAGTGAGGAATCATCCTGAATATCCCCTGACTTCTAAATATTCCCACCTGGATACGAATGGAGGTGGAAAGGTCTGCTTATAATTAAAAAAAAATTTTTTTTAACATGTATTCATTCTTGAGAGACAGGGAGAGACAAAGCGTGAGTGCGGGAGGAGAGAAGGAGACACAGAATCTGAAGTAGGGTCCAGGCTCTGAGCTGTCAGCACAGAACCCGATGCGGGGCTCGCACTCATGGACCGTGAGATCGTGACCTGAGCTGAAGTCGGACGCTTAACCAACTGAGCCACCTAGGGGCCCCAAGTCCTGTTTATAATTAACTGAGTCCAGATCTTAAAACTTTTCTTTACATATTGTTACAAAGAAAACCAGAGGCCCAACGTGATGTCACTGAGACTTCATTCCCAAACCAGTGCTCAGTACATAACCTAGCTGCAGTCCAACCTCCCCCAGAAATGTAGTCCTGACTTGTCTGTCAGGAGTTTTCCAATCAGCACCAATGAGGCTCACCTCTCCATCCTCCGCCAAAGAAAGATGGTGTAATCTACACGATAAGACTCCTCACTTTCACCCTGAAGGAAGCCTCCTTGCCTAAAACAATCCTTTTCCTTTGCTAATAATTTTCTTGCCCCATTCATATATCTGTTTGGAGCCCCCTCTACTTGAAGACAGGCTTGAACGCTGCCTTATCCGCATATCATTTGCAATTAGGACTTTAAATGTTACTTAGTTGAGTTCCTGGAATTTGGTAAAAGGCGAAAGATTTATACGATCTGAAGAGAAACCAGAGTATGAGTTCCTGGAATTTGGAACAATACGCACTCCAAGTATGTTTGGCACTCTTCTGGGGAAGCTGAGGAAACTTCCTTTCCTGGTTGACAGTTTCAAGAAATCAGTTTACTGATATTTAAGCCTTTCAGCCTCTCCCCTCTGCAGCAGATTTTGTGGCTGTTGCCTGCATAGTGATTCTCCATATGGGAACAAGGGAAGCATTCCTTCTCTAGGTCTTCTAGTGCAGTTGTGCTTGAATTGCTACGTTTCTGAAATTATCTTCTTCTTCTTCTTACTATATTTTTGAGATTTTTAAATAATCTCTACACCCTATGTGGGATTCGAACTTACAACCCCGAGATCAAGAGTCACATGTTCTTCTAGCTGAGCCAACTAGTCACCCCAAAATCATTTTATTATCAATTCCCTTTTATTTATCCTTTATTCTATGTCACTGAATTGGTTTTTAAATTGTCAGGTGGTTAGGTTGTTATCCTGTCTGAGAATTTCACTTCAAGATAGAAGGGGCATTACAAATCTCTGTTCTAAGGGGTGTCTGAGTCTGAGGGTGTTGAGAACCCAGCTGCTCTATCTTCTACAGCATGCACTACTGGTAGCCCAGATGTAAAGAGGGGAAACTGAGGCTCAGAGACATTGAGGGACTTGGCCAGGATCACACAACCAATGGAGAGTAGAGTCCGGGAGTCATACCTGAAGCCAAACCTTTCAGTACCTGGCAATGCTATCTCATGGGGCCCGGGGACAACTTGTGATGGGGAGCGCTTACCCGTCCGAGCTCCTTGTCCTCCAAGGCCAGGACTCCTGTGCTCTCTGTGAACAGCTTCACCTTCACAGCGGGCAGTGCATGAGTGGTCGAGAAGTCGCCTTGGGTGCCCCAGCTGCAGACAGAATCAGAGACGTCAGTGCGGAGACCTCTGCCTTGACAATGCTAAACTCAGCTGCCTTCATCCAGAGTAGGGGGAACTCAGGGTTAACCCGAGGCAGCATTGGCTGTCACATGCCCCCCCCCCCTCGCCTCCCCTCCAAAGCTGCCAGAGTGACAAAAAGTGTTAATTAACTTGTTAGGCAAATGCAAGACAGATGCTCAGAAAGTTGCCACGGGTCTTCACAGAGCTCTACAAGGAATCACTTGGAATTAGCATGAAATCGAGTTGGCGAGAACTTTTCCCCATGCATTTGCGATACTTACAAAGTATTTCAGGGTAACCACTAATACTTCCTTGAATCCTTTGAATCCCTAGTTCCTGGAAGTTTTAGAATTTGAAACTGGGCTTCATTTGGTCAAAGCCAACACCTGACTTTAAAATGCTATGTCAGTAGGAGTCAGGAGGTGGGGCTGGGGGTGGGGGGCCCATTTCCTCTGGCTTTCAAAGATGAGTTGAATGGAGGGATAGATGAATCTCGAAGAGGAGTGGGGGACAGAAGGAGGAGAAGTGGGAAATGCCCTTCTCCACTGGTCTGTGGGAATCTGAGTCTTAGACCTCCTCGGAGGAGAGCCTGGCTTACCTAGCATTTGGGTAGGGTGCCAGGCTGGGCTGGCTGCTGATGGGCCCTCAGATGTGGTCTGCTCATCTATTCCTCATTGTTCTCACAGAGCCACACCATCCATTCTGCACCTGAAATCAGTGCGATCTTCCAGAAGTGTCAACTGGATTGCACTGCACCCCTGCCCTAAAGCCTTCCAAGGGCCCCATTCCATTGCGCTCAAAGTCCAATCCAGACCCTGGGGTGCAGCCTCCCACTCATCTGCTCCAGTGTCGGGGCCTCCTGATGGAGCCACCTCAGGGCTGTGGCATATATGTTTCCCTCTGTTGGCAATCCTTCCCCCACCTGGCTACCTCTTCAGAGCTTAGCTTCAATAGCACTTGCCCAGACAACACATCCCTCAGTCTCCCAGTCTAAATGTGGTCCAGAGTTAAACTCTCTGGAAGATACTGTTTAATTTTCTGTCCTAGAAATCACTGGACTTGTAATGATTTATTTTTGTGTGATTGTTCAACAGCTGAATCCTCTGGGTACTTTTTTGCTTATAGGCATACCTACTACTTAGCAGAGTGCGTAACACATAGAAGACACTTAAGAAATATTTGTTGAATAAATAAGTGATACCAACTATATTCTTTTACGGAACTAGGAAACAGGAAGAGATATAATTTTGTATAGAGATGTTTTTCATTTTGCCTTATTATCATGGTCCAATGTCCATAATGTAAAATATTCATTAAAGTATTACTATTACTTTTAAGTTTATTCATTTATTTTGAGAGAGAGAGAGAAAGGGAGAGTGTACACCTGTGAGTAGGGGAAGGGCAGAGAGAGGAGAGAGAGAATCCCAAAGAGGCTCAGAGCTGCCAGCATAGAGCATGACACAGGGCTCGATCTCATGAACCATGAGATCATGACCTGAGCCAAAATCAACAGTTGGAGGCTTGAAACAACTGAGCCACTCAGGCACACCTAAAATATTTTTTTTAAATGACTCTGTTATCATTATTATATATATCATATATCATAATTTATTTATCCAATGTTCTATTATTGGCACTGGGCTGGACATTACTTTTTTATTTCATCTTTGATTACTTCCTTGGGATAGAGAGCTAGATGGGTATAAGAGAGGCTGCTCTTACAGTGCTCCCAAAACTGTGCTCATCAATGAACGCCTGCAAGTCTTGGGATACCGATTCCCAAAATGCTCTCCCCAAAAGTGGCTACCATCCTCCCACCATCTGGGAATGAGTGTAAATCACAGTGCTTCTTGCCTTCATGGGGCCCCTATTCACATTTTCTCCTGGCTTACTTTGTCATTCCTGTGTTCATGGGTACTCCTTTCCCTAAGAGCAGGCTTCAGTTTTTTACTTGGTGTCTACAGGTTGTCTGTATTCCTTCTTTTGTGAATGATGGAAATGACTTCTAGTCTCCATGTTGCACTCAAACAAATACTGTTACGTTAACTCAAGGACATGAAGAATCTAGAGAAAGCTGACAAGACAGTGCCAGAAAAATGGAGGTAAAGGGGAACCCAGATGGGGACCCAAGGGCACAAAAGTCACTGAGGAAGCACACTAGTCATGACAGAGAAAGGGAGAAGACGTTTGAAAGGACAGGAGATAGAACAAAACGAAAGAGGTTCTGAACACAACAGTGCGATGTTAGATGTATAGACAGAATTTCCGAATTGTGGTCCTCAGCTGCTGCAAGCAAGCTTGTAAGATAGGGAATGTCTGTACTGGCAAAGGCAACACGACAGGGCATAGGGTATTGAGTCAGACACCCTTAGTTCAAATCCTGGTTAGTCACGTATGAACTGTAGGACTTGGGGTAAGTAATGAATGTCCCTGTGCCTCAGTGTGCTCATCTATAAAATAGCCTCATTTCACAGAGTGGTTAAATACTAAAGACAAATAAAAATAAGATAAAGATAAATAAAAGTAGGGGCACCTGGGTGACTCATTTGGTTACGGGTCCGACTCTTGGTTTCGGCTCAGGTCATGATCTCATGGTTCACGGGCTTGAGGCCCGCATTGGGCTCTGCACTGACAGCAAGGGGTCTGTTTGAGATTCTTTCTCTCCCTTTCTCTCTGACCCTCCCCTGCTCACACGTGCACTCGTGTGCTCTCTCTCAAAAGAAAAAAAAAGGACTTTAAAAAAAGATTAAAAAATGAGTAAAAAAAAAAAAGTAACTCACAGGCTTGAAACAGCATGAAAACCCAACAAATTTTGACTACCTCCTCTGCCCAATTAGGATAGGTAAGATATATTCTAGTAACATGATGATCACTTTTATTTTGTGTTATCCATTCAACACATACTTATTAAGAATGTACTAAGCGTCCAACCCTGTGCTGGGCAAGCAAGGCAGACATTGCCCTTCCTCCCATACAAAGTAAGCAGTAAAATAGTTACCATCATCCCTGTTTCATAGATGACAAAACTGAGAGAAAACCTAAGATCTTGCCCATTTTATTCCACTGAACTGTGACCAAGCTGGCTGGGACTCAAATCTTTTATTCCCCACATTATAGCTTTCACTTCTATTACTGTCATAATTATCAATAATAAGCATTATTAATAATTAGCAATATTGGCAAAAAATCCCCAATGATCATTAATTTATTATTTGTGCTTAATTATGCTATAAATCTCTTTGGGCATTGACCATGATTGGCCACAGAGATGAAGGAGATTCCTTCTGGAAACCGAAAGAGTTCTGGAATGAGATGCATTAACACCAAGCCACATTGAGGCCTTGACCTCAGTGCCCCTGCTGAGGGACCCGCAACACTTGATCCTGTGATTGGGACTGGTTTGTCAGGCTTTTCTGGACTACTCAGCAGTCACTAGGTCCTCCTGCCTGAACCCCCAGCTAGCCAAGGATGCTCACCTCAGTGACTGTTCAACATGGCACAGAGTGTAGGACAGAGTGAGGCCTCAAAGACCCTGTCAAGCTGGGTGAATTCAAGCCTCTGGAGGCTGCCCTTGAGCCCAGTCCATTTGGACAGTGAGTGGTTTTTCCTTTCTACCAGAGCCGTAGCTGTGCGTTTGGCTTCCCACCATGGCCCCTGGCTCCCCTCAAGTTTTTACGTCACTGCTGATTCCCAACTTATCAATCAGATTTCAAAATGGCAGCCCAGCCCAGGGAAGCAGGCCAGAAAGAAAAGTCTCCAGTCTGATGAGGACCAGCTATGCCATTTTCAAGGCCTGCGCAAAATGAAAGGGTTGGACTTCTTGCTCTAAAAGCAGGAGAAGGTGACACTAAAGGTACTAAAAGATAAAGTGTTTTCCTTTCTCAGAGTAGTTCTGCTCAAATGCATGCTCCATTGTTCCATAAAACTTCACTTACCAAACACAGGTTCACAAATAAGATAATGAAGAATTTCAAGACAGCAATGCAGAGCATTCAACCAGACACAGGTCTGAGCATGAGGCCTGTGTAGTCGCATAGGTCACAAGCCCACTTTTAAAGTTGTGAGTCCAATGACACCCAGTCTGTTTAGCCAGGACTGAGGATGGACCATGCAGGGGAGACTGGCTGTCACTGGGGTTGACGTGAACCCTCACCCTTCACTACAATCTATGGACTTTGTAAAAACGACTCCTGATTTGTTTTTGTAGATCCTTCCTATGTGAAGAAGACTGAGGGAGACTTCATTATAAGCACCTTCCCTCTCCCTTTCCCCTTTTTTCCCCAAGTCATGGAAATGTCCACTTTTTGTCTTTTTCCAGCCACAGAGAGGCCTGACTATCTTTACAACAAAAAACTAATATTGATTCAGAGATTACTATCTGCTAGGCACAAATTCTTCTCTCTAAAGTGTTATCAATCACATACGTATTTTTTTAAGTCGTCTTAGCCATTTTGTGAAATGCTTATAATTATTACTCTCAGTTACAGACAGTAAATTCAGACACAGACCAGCTATAATGTGTCCAGGATCACACACAGGGAACAAATGGCCATCTGACTCCACAACCCAGACTCAACCATGGCGCCATATTGCCTCCCTTTCCCGTTCCACCATCTTGCTGCTCTGTGTCTTGATCCAGTGAAATCAGTCACCCGTGTAACTCAAAGGAAGAGTTCTGTTTCAGGATTGATGGGGCCCTGGGCCACTATGGCCTTTCAGTTCAGATTTATTTCACATGTTCAGTATACTTCACAGAGCACTACCTAACCGATAGACAAATTAGCCAGCAGTGGAAGCATCAAAAGTCTTGGCCTTTTGGTGGGTCCACACATCATTAAATGAATCTCTTTCTCATTGTTGCATTCTTCCCCGCTCATTTCTTTTCCTTTGCTGCGCACTCACTGTGGTTATTAAGATGAATGCCTCTTCTTAAAAGTTTCCCAGAACGGAAATACAATTGCACTTTGATT